ACATACGGAACGCGGGTGACTACGTACGGAGCGCGGTATATTACACATGGAACGCAGCTACAGCTATCAGGACGCTGTATATGATGCACGGGTAAGATAGCGCGGTATATTGCATCGGAGGATGGCGAAATCCCGGGATCACGGTTGTGAGAACTCTCGCGGCGAGGCCGAGCACGCTCGACCCCACGGTACCGTGGTCGTCGGGGCAAGTATCAGGGAGCTCGGGAACACTCTGAGAACCCTCAGTCGAGAACCAGAACTCTGGACCTCGTTGTGCGTGTTGCCCTAGGATTCGGAAGGTATCTTTGTCAGGAATGGCGGAAAGCCGTGGTAAAGACGAAGTGTCTTTTCGTCGAGCGTGCCGGCTTTTTATATCGCTCGGCGCGGTGAGCTTGGCAGGAGGGAGGCCGATCGTCAGGCGATGGTGCGGTGGTGGGAGCGGCGCGATCCCGCGTGCTCGCTTCGGCGGGGATCGGCTCGCTTCGGCGCTTGTCGGCGTCGTGCGGGAGGGCACCGGTGCGGCGGATTTCCCGCGCACACGGTGCGTTTCAAGTATTTAAAAAAATGTAGGCGCACCGCGCCCTGTGCTCGCCCGACGGGGAATCGGTCGGGCGGCTCCCGGCGGGTGGTAGCCGAGGACGATACGTTGTCATAAGGGGTGCATCGTTACAAATTCTATATTTAATGTAGAAAATTAAGTTTCTAACTTTCTTTTATAAAAATGATTAAACTACAGGTATCAGATTATGAAGGTAAAATTTTAACCGTAAATGCTGCTCATGGCGGAAGAACGCACGACGCAAGAGCTTGGAGGGCATCTCACGTATCCAATCATCTGGAAGAGATGTATGCTACAGAGCGAAAAGATGCCTGGCTTTTAGGTAACTATATTTTTATATAATTTGTTCTTAATTATTTCCGTTTTAGCAATGCATTTAAAAAGCATATTTTAAACGGTATATGGTTTTTCTAGGAGATAGTGCATATCCTCTACTACCATATCTGATGACACCTAAGCTACATGAACCAGAGGGAGCGCCGTCTGCAAGGTACACTCAACATCATATCCGGGCTCGATGCTCTGTTGAGCGATGCATAGGTGTTCTGAAGGGGAGATGGCGATGTCTCAGGAAAGAACGAGCTTTGCATTATGCACCAGAAGTTGCAGGTAAAATATGAATTGAATATATGTACATACATACAAGAGTGTGTGTATGTGTATTTATATATTATACATATACTTTTATTACCACAATTTATTTTCAGCTCGAATAGTTAATGCTGCATGTGTTCTACATAACATCGCTGTCCAATGGAGGCTTCCTGAACCAGAACTATATTACGATGAAATAGACCTGGAACTTCCAGTAAGAAATGAAGAAGGAAACATGGAAAATGGAAATGAAGTTCGCGAGCGGATTATTCATATGTATTTTGAGAATGTAAGACCGGTGTGATTTTAAGATATTATTTACTTTGATATAAGTTATTAGTTAATAATTGTATACTATAATAATTTTGTATGAATCATGGTTAGAATAATAATTCTGTATAAAATATTCAATGAAACATTGTATTGCACTTTATTGCAAAATATATATACTTTCCATACATATTATGTATATACACACGTTTTACGTATATATTTTTTATGTTAAATAAGAAGGCACAACTTTTTCAAATTATCATCAATATTAGTCAATATATTTTTATATTCTGAATGACTAGTCTGAAGGAACTGAAACTTTTGTTTTTTTAAAGCTATGTTTTCTTTCAAAATCTTCAACTTTTCCTCTTCAATTTCATTTCGACGTTCTTGAGTTTTCTTGTTAAACGCACCTTGTTCTTGTAATACCTCGACTTTTTCTCGCATTAATTGTACAGCTGATCTTGCACAATTTTCATTTCTGTCTTTAGCTGTATAATCACAGAAATTGAAACAAGATTATATAAATTATATTCTATTTTACATCTTATAATATCAACGTTACAATATATGAGAAAATTAATTGTATGTACATAATACCTTTGTTCTGTTGCGTACGATGCTCAGGTATGCAATCGATCGTGACACTTGGCAATGCTTTTCTATTTTCGTCAGTCAATGCATTTATTCTTTGGTATTCATTGATCGTGTCAGTATCGGAAAAACTAGAATATTCTTCTGGTGGTTCTATTTCCTGAAAACATATATTTATCATAGTGACATGTAAATTATACACGTCAATCAAGTTCAATTAAATAATTTTAGTTACCTTTGGTTCAAAATCTAAGTCGAATGAAAGATCAACAATGTCATTAGATACAACTGTACTCGAACACGTTGATGAGATCGGATTCTTTCCTTCTGTCCCCTTTTGTATTTTGGCAGCATTTATCAATATTGAAGTACATTTCTATAAATCATAAATTTCTTTAATGACAGCAGTTATTCTTTAGTTTATTAATTATATCCTAGCAAATACCAAGTAATATGCAAGTTATAATTTCCTACTCAACACATGTGTTATATTGCATTTACATTGTTAAGTAAAAAATTATATCTTGCATATAGGTTACACGTTACTTGGTGTGTGCTGAGATAATATAAACTGTATAATAATAGAAGAATAAACAATTTTTAAGTGCATCATACCCTTTTTGTCCGTGTAGATGTAGGAATGGTATGTACTTCTTTTATTCTACTAGCTTGCACTCTTTGCACATTTCTAAGTAAAGATTCTTCTTGTGGAGAGATGGTATTGGAAGATTTTTTCTCTTTAATCCTATTAAAAGAGCCACCTTGAGGTATACTGTCCAAACCAATAGCTTCGGGACTTAAAATCTCCATTAACTCTTCTTCAAGTTGAGTTAACGCAATGGTTTTAGGAGGTCCTCCACCTGTACCCATAGCATAACTTTTGTTCTGCGTACACTTCTTTAATACATTGGCTTTTCAGTCTCTCCATGTCTGTACAAATATAAAAATACATTCATAAAAATGTATTCATAAAATAAAAAATTATTAATATTATTTATTATTATTATTATTATTTATTTATATTGTTTACATGTTCCTTGCATGATCCACATTAATTTTATACACTGCTTAGAGCCTAAGCACATACCATATCGTAGTGATATACGACTGTCGTATACCGCTATGTCATGTTATATGCTTTGGTCCTTATTTGACACCAAATTATGTCTTTTACATACCTTTTGCCACTCTTTTGGTTGTTTCTGTGGGCCACTTCCAATTGAATTCAACGAATTTGTTATATTCGACCACATGTCATCCTATGCAAAAAAAATTATTCAAAAATTATATAAGATATATCAAATTATTATTTACATTCATAAATTTTAATTAATTATTGGAATTACAGTATCTACAATGAGGCTATGGGATCTTGTAAGCATTAACGACATCATTAGGTGCTATATATATCATAATATACCATAAAAATAGCACATAACAATATCGTTAATGTTTACAAAATAGGTCCCTATATTTGCAAAATTACTGACAATAAATAATGCAACTCTTCATTATAACAACAATGTATATTATACGTATACTTACTAATATTTTCTTATTTGCACCATTATATCGCAAGCGATCCCTCGCAAAATCGGGGTTGTCTTTCATATAATTTAACATCACTGATTTTTGCTTTTCCGTCACGTTCATATTTAAAATTTCGGTGAACTCGCGGAAAAACCGAGATGTCTGTCGTAGCGTGGACGAAAAGTATAGGCAGAGAAAAACGTAAGACTTAAAAGGTTATTGTACATACATATGTACAACAGCCTTTCACGACTTACGTTTTTCTTTACCTTACATTTCGTCCACGACTATGATAGATGTAAGTACTTACGCCTCGTTCTTTATCAACAGCTTTTATAAGAGTAAGAAGTTTCTTTTCACTCTTAGGTTAGATCCCTCACTCTTGAGGCAACGTATCTCTTCCTCGTTCCGGGCTACGATAATGGACAGCGTGAAACTGCGAGATGACTAGACCGGAAGTGCCTAGTGATCTCGCAATTTCACTCGACACATCGATAATCGAGTGAACAAAGTCGCGTGAGATGAGAATGTGAAAAGTGAATGAGCTCACTCAAAAACCGTAATCGACCCCCAGCAGACTGTTGGAGGTGGGCTCACAGCCCGCTGGACCACCCGGACGTGCGGAAGTACAGAAGGGGCA